GGTTCTTATATGGGCGGTTCTTTTAAAACCTTATTGACACAATTTCGATTATTTATGAGGCAGGCTTTGGCCCTGCATTTCAGGGCCAACTCGGGCTGAAAGGGATGCAATGTCCCTATAGAAAGATAATACTGTGCTGGAACAACATAGGGGTAACTGTTGCTTTTTCTTTCCCCATCCTTACTATCGGCATTTTTTCTCTACTTCTTTTGTATGTTTGTTAATCTTTTGTGAACTGCTATTTCCGGGGTGCCTTGATAGTCGAAGCAGACTATGTGCTGTAGAGGCAAGAGAGGTGAGCAGAGAAAGCCTGATTCCTCGTTTGGACTTCTCTGTTGATATACGCCCTTCGGCGCTCATATGACCTTATGTAGTTGCGAGCTCCTTAAAACCTTACTAAAACTAAAACTCTTAAAGCATAATATTTTTAATCTTTTCGTTTTTATGGGGAAGAAAAATTAAGGGGTGGAGAGGGGGGGGGGGGGGTAGAGATAAAATCAAATTTATCCTCGCTAAAGGATAAACAAAGTTCATTCTCCTTTCTATGTTTTCACACCGCCAGTGCTAAAAGGCTATTTCTGTAATTGATTTCGTTTTCCATGCCGAGCAGTCCCTCTCTTTTGCGCGCGTGACTTCTATTTCCGAGTCGACGCAGAGGACAACAGTATCGTCTGTCACTTCGGATGACGACTAAATCCCCGTACACACTAGACAGAACAAGCAATCAAATCATCACACAGCTAAAGTGCATGGGTATAGCACCCTTTTCAGTACTGTAATCTTTTTTAAATGGTGGGATCTCCGAATTTAACGCCCGTGCCCGATAGGACCAACCTGGGTGCGTTGAGAGCCTTGATAACTCCACTAAACTGGCCCCGCGGAAAATTGCATTTTTGAAATAGAAAAATTGAAAAAAAATTGCAAGGTAAACTGCCTAAAAATTGCAAACAATTGAAACCTTCCCATCCCAGGCGCATTAATACGCGCTTAATATTTTTAGTTTTAAAAAAACATGAAAATTTGAGTACCGGTAGCATAAAAGCAGAACGGCCTTTTAAAAAAATCATGACCCACAGTACAAATTTTATTAACATTTACTAGTAACAACACACGAGTACGTTAACAATAAAGTTATCGACCAAATATAATATAATACCGCGTGACCCAAAATAACGGATCCCTCGGTTTTCGTAATAACTTTGAAATGAAGGCATAAAATTTGACCAGATTTAGTAGCCGCGGGTACTTGGTTCATGCAAAGATCTAGAAGTGTAGTATGAGGTTTAGACGCTAAAAAAAATGATGGGAGATTCGAACAACCTCTAAATGCAAAATTAGCTTATGCCTCACTCAGTTCAGATCCTTTTCTTTTTTTCTCTTGATACTTTCGATACACCGGTAATCTGTATTTAGATCTATTTCAGATTTTTTATTTTTTTTAACCAGTATGGTATTATTTTAACTCTTAAGTCAAATCGTAAAATACAGCAATTTTTTTCTCCATTTAAGAGTAATAATAATGTAGATCATTTCTATATATTAAGTGGCAGGATAGAATAAGAAATGAAGAACTGTGGGAAAGGACAGTACAAAAGGATATAGAAGTAGAAATAGGACTAAGAAAGTGGCGATGGATGGGA